TTCCCATTGCTGCAAGGATCGTTTCCTCTTCCAGGAAATATCCCTAGGAATATCATTAGAAGTTTTTAATGTATATGTCTGTATGGCGGGAAAGGCCTCAAATATCCAAATCTACAAACAATATAATAACAAACATTAGTAATTGTTAAAGAATTAATTATAATTTTGGAAATATTATATAAAAATTATTACCTTAAAGGCCCAATAAAGCCTGACAAAGTGTATTTGGAACCATCGCCACGCAAACTTTTCCGATCATCAAAGGCAGACGACAACTTATTCCATGTAGCTCTCCATAGATACGAACCCCACGGAAACAGGTTCCATGTATTTAGGTCTTCTACCAATTTAATTAGATCATTAGGAATAGGTTGTCGGGCCTCTCTGCCTAAAAAGTTGGCTTGCAAAAGTATTAGAAGGCATACTCGAACAATATCGATGTCATCCATCCGAGTAAAATCTTTCTTATTCAATAATCTCGTCAAGTCTTCCACGTGTAAATTCGACAACTCAGGAAAAACCCGGGAAAACCATGATAGGCGGGTAATATGTCTAGTGTACCGATCTAAATCATCGTGTCCGAAGCGTACCGGATATTAAGCAAAACTCCTCACGCCCAAAACACGTATACGTCGGTGGAAAATCAAACCATATATCATCACGATGTTGTATAGTCTCTGGTAGATCGCTAGTCATGGTTTGAAGAAACAGATGGGTCAACATAGCATCTCCACCCGGATGTTGTACTTTCAGCCATGGCCCGAAGCAAGTATCCTCAAATATTTTTCTTTGTGCATGTGAAAGCTTCAACGCAATTGTTTTGGCCAGGCTTACTTTATTTCTTAAGGTCAATTGAGCCGAATAAAAGTTCTGCAAAAATAATAAACATACCAAGTTAGATATACCAAAACTACAATGTGAAGATATAACAAGAACAATAAACATAAAGAGTAATTCTTCAAACTTAAATTTGCAACACTGTGAATTTAGTATTTCTTTGTTTTTGTTGAAGTAATGCAATTCATTCAAGTTTCAATTTGCAGAAGAAGAAGTTTCTGAAACTTAAAATCGCAACACGAAAAATGACTATCGCAACGCGAATTTGACTATCGCAACGCGAAATGAAAATCGTAACGACAGAATCGCATTGCGATAGTCATTCTCGGTTTCAAATACTAAAATTGAAAGAAACTTGAATGGATTGCATTACTTCATCCAAAAGACAAATACTAACTTCACAGGGTTAAAGACTAAACAGTTTAGCAGTATTGGCAGCAATCGAATTAATATAATAAGCAATCTAAGTGAAATGGTTAATCTATTATTGAAAACACCAGTAAACTTATCATCAATTTCAATATAAAAACATAATAATAATGCAAAATTTCAAAAAAAAAATTAAAAAAACTAACCCTCGGTGGTTGATTTGGTTGATTTTCCATTTCTGATCGTGAATGATTTCGCCGAAGATGGAGACTGATATCGTCGGAGATGGGGACTGATTTCGTCGGAGATGAGGACGGATGTCGCCTTAGAGAGTGAGAGATGGAGATGAGACTGAGTTGTGATTTAGGGTTTTAGGTTATGAGTTGCGATTACGGGATATACTGTGGACGGTTCAATATTTCGTTATATTAATATATTCGTGTTTGGAATTTGAAAAAAATACGCGTTGGATACGAATGACGCTATGTAAATTGCATTGCGATAGTCAGATTCGCGTTGCGATTTACATATTCGCATTTCGATTTACGTATTCGCTTTGTGATTTACGTAATCGCATTGTGATTTTCCAAATTCGCGTTGCAATTTACGTATTCGCATTACGAATTAGGAAAATCGCAACGCGAATTTGGAAAATCGCAATGTGATAGTCAGAATTGCGTTGCGAATCTGGAAACTGATTTGCGATACCGGAGATCGCGTTGCGAATTATCGATCGCATTGCGATTTAGTTGGTCATTTTGGCAAATCCAAAAAAAATTGGTTAAAATCGTATATTATAGTCATTTTTGATCACTGAGGTTATTTTCTCTTATTATTAATTTTCCCTTCACTCGGTTAATTTATTAATAAATAAAAAATTTAAAAATTGGTTTAACATATTGAATTGTATTTTTTAAAAAAAATATTTTTTATCATTTTTAAATTTTTTGGTATGGTTTGATATTTATAAAAATTAAAAAGTTAATATCTTAATAAATTAAAACATACAGTCTTTTCAGTTTTTTTTGGTGGATAAATTAAAATTTATTACCCAAAATAGCAATGTTATGCTACAACAAATCAACTAACAAAAGGGACAAAGCAACCTAGTACAAAAGAACCAAAGATTGGTTAGACAATACCCCAAGCATTACAAAGCAATTGATTAGTACTATCAAGTCTATTAATAGCTTTGCCCCTAAGTCTAATGTTAACAGTTTCAGTAATGTCATTAAGCAAAATGTCGATCGATCTTTGCCGACCCTGGAAAATACGTTGATTCCTTTCCTGCCAGATGAAGTAGTTAAATGCATTCCAAGAAATCTTCAATAAGGTGATGATAAGAGACTTCCCTCTCCAAGTAGTGCTAGCCCAAGACACCATATTTTCCCAAGTAAGAGGAATAAAAGTCATATCATTCAATTGCAAAACAGCTTTCCAAAGTCCAATAGCAAGGACATTGAGAAAAAGAGATCCCTCGATTCTTGATCTTGGCAGCAGTTAACACATGTAGAATCAGAACATAAACCCAGTTTCTGCAACTTGTCTTTGGTAGGTATCCGATTCAATAAGGCCATCCATGAAATCAAACTGTGTTTTGGAATATGCAAAGGGTACCATATAAGTTTGTGCCAACAAACCTTCATGCGTTGTATCTGAATCTTGTCCCAATCTTCCCTGATCGGCTGAGGAGCAGCCGAGACAATAGGGAAAACAATTGATCTCAACTTGAGAATTCGTCTAAAGCTCCAGCTAACGTTAGATCCAGCTTCAAAGTTCCAGAAATTGTGCTCCTTAAGAACATAGGATTTTAGCCATGCAACCCATAAAGATCCGTCGCCTGCTAGAATTTTTCTAATTTGATGGTGCAAGCTCTATTCCAAATAGCAGTGTTTTTCAGACCCATGCCTCATTCAGACTTCAGCAGACATATGGATTCCCAACTGACTCTAGCACCGGCTGTTGAAGTATCAACTCCTTTCCAGAAAGACCTGGAACAAAGTTGATCCACAAATTTAAGAATGGAAGCAGGAAGCATGAGTTGCCTGCACCAAAAGTTACAGACGCTGAACAAACAGAACGTATTAGCTCAAGCCTGCCAGCGTAGCTTCAGTTTTTATAATCAAACCTATATTTTTTAATATATATATATATACGATTAAAAATAGTTGATATTAAAATTATTATAAATATTATAAAATTATCACTAAATAAACCTATTTAATATTTTATATATATATATATATATGATGTTAGTTAAAATTATTATAAGCTTTTAAGTTAATGATTAAATGTTAAATTTGTATTTTCAAATAATCTTGGTTCAAATTCCTCAATTATATTTATCACTTTTGTTTTTCAAATTACATTTATCCCTCAATTTTTGGTATGATTTCATATTTTTGTTTGTTTTTCAAATTATCATCAAACGCTTGCCGCTGTGTGCAAATCATATGTGCAGCACGTCCTTTGGAGCAGTATGAGCATAACAATGAAGTTGATGCTAAGTTTGGTCTTCATGCCGAAGCATAACAGTGAAGTTGATACTTATCGAAAATGGTGAAATTTAGTGATAAAATTTGGAGGGATCAATTTAAAATTTTTAAAAATTTAGAAGTATAAATTAAAATTTTTGAAAAGTTCAATTTACATTTTTCCAAAAAAATTAAGGCCTAATTCAAATTTTTAAAAATTTGAAACTTAATAATAATTTTTAAAAATTATGAAAATTATGAGAGGAGTTTAATTAAGAACATTAAAAAAAATTAAAGCATAATATGATTTTTTTAAACTTTTATAGGAGTCAAAGTACTTTTTTGAAAATTTTAATGTTCTAAAATTAAAATTTTCAGATTTTTGAGGGACCATGACCTCCAGATATCTCCATTGTGTTCCGCCTTATCAGTCTTGAACTGTTAACAGAAATTATTACATCTGTTTTTCTTATGTTAACAGAGACGTTGTTTAATCATGCAAGCCTTATCCAAAAGTGGTAGAAGTCTGTAACCCTCAAAGGAAACTAGTCTTACAAGAACCTAAGTTACCATTTGGACTGCTTCCTCCGAGTTTTATTGATTATGTTGTTAATATAGTTAACCTCAAAAATGATTTCACATCGACCACAGAACTTGTTCGTTTATTAGATTCATTAGATACAAAGATAAAAAATTTAAAGAATATACATTTTAGCTTTTACTCCATATTGTCAACATATATAACCTAAATACAATATGCCTATATAATTTAACCCCATTAAATTCTTAAACGGAACTAATATGTATTAAATTATAATGTTAGTCCTTATAATTTTATTTTTTAAATACTTTAATAGATGATGTAAACCTATGAAAGACGTGTGGATGACGATCTGCACCTTCTCTTAAGTGCAGACAGTTCAAATAAAATTCTACGAAGACATGAATGGTGATCAACGTTTTGCGAGAAAATATGTTAGATTTATAATATTAAAAGAAAAAATATGACAGATAATTACTATGTGTAAGGGTGATATTTCGATAAAAACATCAACATTAATAACTATTTTTATAATTTACTTTTTTTTAAAATAAAATGACAGATGTCACTATCTTTAATAAAGAAGATGTCACTATCCATTTGAAAGAGAGGAATGGACATTGAATAACAAATGAAAATGTGAAGGGACTGACAGTCACAGTAGGCATTGAAAATTGTCATTGTCGTAAACATAAATAACTTTTCACTATTTTGTGTTTTTGCTTGATGAAGCTTATATATATATATATATGAATCAAGAACATGCAAAATAACTAAAATCAACCCCCAAAAAATGAACTACTTCCGTTACTTAGCTTCCATTTGCTTCTTTCTCTTCCTCGCCGGAGCAGTACAAACCACCGTCCCTGCTGCCGTTTCACTTGACCGTTTCCTTAAGCCTATAAAAGCACAAGAACCAAAACCCCAACCTCAAGAATTCTTCGAGTTGGCCAGTCCTCTACCGTCCGATCATCTCACTCCATTTTGTTCCCACACCGTCATCAACCATTCATTCGCCAACACGATTGGTTCACCTCCTTTCTCCTCCACTTACTCTCCTCCTTCCGATTGTCCTGCGCCCTGGTCGCGCGTCGTCCTCGATTTCCGCGCCGCATCTTCCGGAGAACAATACGACCGAATCGCGGCCATCTGGCTCGACGGCGCAGAGATTTTCCGGACCAGCACGGCGGAGCCGACGGAATCGGGGATCTTCTGGAAAGTACGAAAAGACATCAGTAGGTACTATTCGCTCCTTTCTAAACCCGAAATTAACGTCACCATGATGCTCGAAAACGTCGTTAACGACGTTTACACCGGCGTTTACGACATCCTCGTTTCGTTTCTGTTTTACAAAGAAGACATCGTTCCCAACGACGATAGGGTTCCGTCAATCACCCTCCCAAATAAAAAATTGGGAACCGCTGAATTGGGATTATTCAAAACGCCACCGGATTTGATCATTCCGATTTCCAGCGACGGCGAAAGAGGGTTTTGGTTCAAAGTAGAAAGCGAATCGGACGTTCACATCAAAAAAGTGAAAATCCCCAGAAATACCCTTCAAGTCGTTTTGGAGTTATACGTGTCGTTTCACGGCAACGATGAGTTCTGGTACTCGAACCCGCCGTATTCTTATATCAGAATGAACAATTTGACAACGGGGCGTGGGAATGGCGCGTACAGGGAAGTTTTCGTGACGATTGATGGGAAATTTATCGGATCGGAGGTGGTTTTTCCGGTGGTTTTCACTGGCGGAGTTAACCCTTTATTCTGGGGACCGGTGGTGGCGATAGGAGATTTCAATTTACCGACCTACGATCTGGATTTATCCCCATTTTTGGGGTGGTTATTGGACGGAAAATCTCACGAGATTCGGATCGGCGTCGATGATGCATATCATATTGGCTTGTCGACGCAAATTTACACGTCTGGTTGGATCATGAATCTTCGACGGTTGAAGCTCAATCAGTTGTTTATAATAGTCCAGCACTTACCATTTTAAGAAATGAAGATTTTAGAGATCTTGATGGAACTTTTAGGGTTAAAGCCAAGAGGAAAAGTGAATTTGCAGGTTGGGTTAAGTCCAAAGCTGGGAATTTCACCACCATTGTTTCACAACAATTCAAGGTTACGAATTTGGTGAGGTACTACTTCAATGGAACATACAAGATTGTTCAACAGATATTCAAGGCAAAGAGGGATTCCAGGGTTAGAGAGGATTCGGGTGAATTGGTCGGTCGTACGATTGTTCGGAGGCAGTATCCGTTAACTGTGATCACGTCTACTGTTCCATTGCAGAGTAATGGTCCCTCAGGGTCCATGGAAGAGGATATGTATATGATGATCACCAATGTTTCTCATGCCAAGAACGAACGACGGGTTAACGGATTGTCTTCGAGTATTCTTTACAACCGGCAGGAATCGGAGGGGTGGATGAAGGTTAAGGGTCATTCGGTTATCTCTGGCAACTCATCCACATGGCAAAGATACACTTACAGGGACGAGTTTGGTTGCTATTCTCGGACTGTTTTGGCAACCGAAGGCAAGCTTGCCATCGACAATTCAACATTCTCTTGTGCAGCTTCTACGTAGTTTCAGTTGTCTCCCCATTTCCAGTTTGATTTCATCAATCTGTACCTTTCAATTCATTCCAAATAGTACTTTGTATGTAGTTTACAAATTTGTGTGCCAATTTAGCTTCTAAGTTACTCAAATGGAAACTTCATTAATTTCACATAAATTGTCTGCATGTATAAGCTTCACGAGTTTTAAATTAGGCAAATAAAAAACGTGTAGAATACACAACCATACTTCTCATTTTTTATAGAGAAAAATAAAATCTGTATTCGATACATATTCTGAATGTATAAAAATTTAAAAGAAATTGAATATACCCGTGTCGAATAAAACACTCGATTTGAGTCCATGTAGTCCAAACCCTCTGCTGGACCTGTTGTTTATGGATGGCCAAGCAAACTCAGATATTTGAAACTGATAAAGCTATTTTAATGCTACAAAACTCGTATATTAAGCTATCTTAATGCAGAAGCTAGATAATCAATGGTTAAAGTCCAACCTTAATATAGGAGTGGAAGAACCTTCACAGCTGTTCATGTTTCCTATCAGTCACTGGGACGCCAAAAACCCTTCTCGCCAACAAGAAATTGACCTTGATAAAGAGTTGTCGACCAATGAAGCGAACGGAGTATCGGATTAAGCTTCTTAATGGTGTCCATATTATCTTGGACCAAATATACCCACCGGGTCTCAGAATGCGATCAATTTCCACAGCTACATCGATGATGTTGCATCTAAGAGAAGCAAAATGTCCAACAACCATTCAAACATAAATCGAATAACTATGAAATTATATGTAGAATACAGAGATTGGCTTTATTTGATCACCACTCCGAGTATAAATCAGATATAAAGCAAACATTTATTTAGATCAGTCAGGTTTAAGTGTTTATTGCAACAGGTACCTATCTTTTAGGTTTTTGAAGAGAAAGCTGGAATGCAGTAGATCGTATTTCCGAGGGTAAGTATTGAAAGACTCACACCAGTCGTGATAGACTCCAATCAACCCCCTTTCAAAAATAACAGACAAGGTATCTGGTGCATCAATTGGTACGACATTCATCACCCAGAGAGGTTGCTCAATAAGCGCCGCAGCAAATCTGCAAACAACAATTTCAATGCGAGCATGAGAACTCTTACCAGAGTAAGTTTAGCTTGATACATCAGATGGCAGTGGAAATACATATGATGACAAAAGAAAAACTGGATCAAAGAACATATCAGAAAACGAAAGCATTGGTCTCGTGAGAAAACAGCAACATACCACATCGTATAACTCAACTCATTAGAAGTGCTAGAAATGTGAGTTCATTGTTCACTTTTTTCACACATAAAAAAACTAAAAACTAAAAAAAATGTTATATTTCTTACCCTCCATAACCAGCATTCATATCCATCGCATTTCTTATCCGTGCCAAGTTTATAGCCAGCCCATCAATACACCTCCGATACAAGTGCTGCCCAATGTTTGGTGTCCTCATTGAATATATCTTCAGCATCTGGTTCAGATGGAAGACTTGGAGGCTTACTGCTAAGCCTTTGAGGCCAAGATGTGGACAATCTGAGCAAATTACTCATGCTGTCGACTGGAAGACGTGAAATACAATAACTGAAAGGCTCATACCTGTTACAGTCGATAGACATCATTAGAATCTATTTCAACAGAAACGAAGCTAACACCACATATGCGAACATTATTTTAAGACATAACTCTCCAGTTTAAATTGCTTCAGTCTAGACATATGAAGTGGAAGATAAAATAGTAAATCCATGCGCATAAGGATAATACTCTCAAAAATTTACCATGAGACATTCTGCTTGGTTTTCTGTTCACACAAGGGTGGAAGTCTTTCTTTGCGCTGTTTGTAACAAGAATGAGGAAGGCTTTTGATATATTATGAGCCCAACTCCATTTGAATCAACAGTTTTGGCACAACCTTCCAGCATATGGCTGTTGTCAAAGCCACCATTGCTGAAATATATACAGAATATTGGACCAGGTTAGCACATCTGAATTTTAATTATGAGAAGGCAAAATGAAATAAATGAGGAACAAGGAAAATCTAGAGAAGGGAAAACAATAATTCCATGATATGCGAAAAAAAGGAAAGATGAAACAAGGAAAATAATTATATACCATACCATCTGCATCCCAGTGAACTCTGCATCGTGCACAATGTATCAAATCATATGCATTGTCCGGAAATGTCAGCTTTTGTGTACCGATGATGGAAAGTATAGCAGGAATTCCCCTCTCAATAGCAAACTGTATCTGAGCTTCATGTTCATCCTTCGGGTCAACTGACATGGTAATTACATCTTTATCCAGCAAATAACCACCAAAGCTAGCAACACCACATCCAACATCTAAAATAACCCTAATGTTCCTCCCCCATTTAATAGCTGGTAAAGTCTGGAAGGGAAAAAACATAAGGGAGAGGGGGAAAAAGAAGACTCAAAAGAAAGAAAGAAAAAGTTCCGGGGTCTACTCTTCAACTAAGAGCAGATGACAAATCAGCAATCAAATGTCAACTTGCAAAAGGATTGGAAAAATCCAGTACATACCTTGTGTATGAAATCAATATAGCTATGAACACCATTCTTAAATTGAGTACCACCTCCAGGGAAAACAAAATGATAACCAGATTTACGCACCCAGTTCTGTTCCTTCTTGTATTCCACAAGCTTAGGATGAGGAACATTGCTATACCAAATCTACAAACGAGCATGAATATGTAATATAACCCTCATATTCAGCAAGTAAAATAACATCATAAATGTTTAGACATGAGAAACTTCTTTCATACTACAACTTTTAGCACCTAGCTTCCCAAAAACTGTCCCTGATGAATATCAAACTTTAGTTCTTTTTATTTCACTCCTCGCATATAATAGGCCATGTTACTCGAACTTGATTGTGAGTGTCGAAAATGTTTATATGCTCTATATGACATTGTTCAATTTTTTCTAAGTTAGTTACATCTGTATACACGGACATTGATACTTCCAGAAAAACGGAACTTAGGAATAATATAGCAATGGTAGTAATTCGGCAGACTTAAGATTAAAGAAACAAAATGTTTAAAATCACCATCACGACAAAGACAACTACACTAATATTTACTAAATCACTAAATGTTTAGAATTTTCAGAAAATTTTCAGTTTTATAGATCACTTTGGCACTAAAACTACACAACTACAATCTAAATAAGAGCACAAATAATAATAATAATAAAGAACCAATATCTTACCAAAATAAAAATTGAAGCTCAACATGTCCCTGCTTTTAGGCCAACGAACCGGAACCTTATAACTGATCGGCAAAGGCACCAAACATCTCGGACTCGGATCCGGACAATGCCTTTCCCTATGCTCCATCCGCCTCCTCGATTGCAATTCCTTTATCGCTCGCCAATTGTCCAAACACGGTATATAATCCACCGCCAACGCACCTAATTTACAGTTCTCCCATTTTATATCCAAACTCCATTCAAGTCCACGTCACCAGCTGCCGCGGCACTCGTTTTTGAAGCCGGTTCCCGCAAGGAAACCCCGGCATTGTTTGGCTGGGAGGAGGAGGCGAAGGTGGCGGCTGAGTTAGGATATCGCGAAGGTAGTGGCCAAGGCTGCAGCGGAGGAGGAGGCTGAGAAATGGTGACGTGGAGGTCGGTGGAGACTAGGAGGGAAGGGGAAGAGAAAGTGGAGGAGTTGAATAAGAGGAGGATTGTGCAGTAATTGAGGAGAAAGATAAGAGCGAAAAGGAAAGGAGACTTTCGTTCTCTGAAGATTCTTTGAACGGAAATCGCCATATCTCCGTTTTTCTTTGTTTGGATCGGAGGAAAAGAGTAGGGAACACAGTTGAGTAAAATTAGCTATGGGAGTTGCAGTCTCTTAATTTTTCCTGTTCTTTTTTGCTTCTAATATTCAATTTTGTTTCCAATTTATATTTTTTAATATTTTACTCATTAAATTAATACATTCAATGAATTATCTCTATTTATTTCTAATATTTATTATTGATAAAATTATTTTTTATGCAAACACAGCCATTAGATTTATTATGAAGAGAAAATATTTATAACTATAATAAAATTAGTAGATTAGACACATAGTTAGAATTTTTTTTTATAATCATTGATATAATAAACTAATAAGTCAAGATCATACAAAAATGATAAAGAAAATGTTAAAATTCATTCAAAAATACTTGAACAAGAAACATATATGAACAAATTTTACTGTATCAATAACGAATCACGACAAGATTAAACAACTGAAAAATCATTGTATCCAAGTCCAATACAAAATCCAAAGCAGGGAAAATCAACAGAATAACCAACAAACATTATCTTAATTAATTGAGATGACATCAAATTTAATCCTCTAATAAAATTAAATGAAAAAAATGATCAAACGACCGAAAATATATTATAAAAATAAAAGAAAGTGTGTCGTAAAGATAAAATTATTAAAAATAAAAAAATAAATATATAACATAAAAAGTAAATAAAAGACAAAGATATAAACGATACTGACGACATCAAGATTAATGTTTTCGTCTGTTAAAAGAAATAAAAGCGGCTGACTATGGATATATCAACAATCGATTTCATTTCTAATAACTAATCAGTTACCTTCTCATTAACTCTACACTTAGTTTATTCTCATTATATTCTCTTAAAAATACGAAAATAATTTATTATAACTTCTAATTAAACTTATAACTTACTTGAAATGGAACTTTATTACCCATATACATGATTTCTAAAATTAAATTATAAAAAATACTCTCAAAATTATTTAGATTTCATTCTTATAATGTAAAATAAAGATACGTTCAAGAGAACGTACGTTTAACAACATACTTTTATCTTACACAACATCCTAGTTAACAATAATTTTTTTATTTACATGAAAAACATATAAAACGTTTTTGTTATACGAATTTAGATGATCCAAAATTTCACGATGTTTTGAAAGTCGTACGAATTTAGATGATCAGAAATTTGTTGATGTTTTGAAAGTCGTAACCTATATGATCTGAGTTTGCAAATAAGTTGAAGAACATAATCTATGAGAACATGACCTTCGCCCTGTTCACGATGATGGAAGGTAATGCTTACCTTGGAGATGTCGCCAAAGACTTCATTTTCTTCTATACGATCAACTCTGCATGCTGGCAGGCGAAGCCATGCTCATGATCATGGCACGAGCCGAGATAAAGACCAAAGTGACATCTACTTTGGTTTTAG